TTGACCAGGGTGGTCTCGATCTCTTGACCTCGTGATCCACCAGCCTCGGCCTCCCAAAGTGCTGGGATTACAAGCGTGAGCCACCGCGCCCGGCCCAATGGCAAGTTTTTAATTAAAGTATTTTTAATGCCAATATTAGAAAATAAGAGACTGAAATAAGAATAAAGTCCTCTTGTTGAGAAATTAGAAAATTAAGCACAAAGAAAATGCAAAGAAATGAAAACATAGGCAAAAGTTAATTATTTGAGAGGCCCAATAAAATTAAGCCCCTGGTAAGTCTTTTGTTTTGTTTTGTTTTGTTTTGTTTCGTTTGTTTTTTTGGAGACAGAGTTTCACTCAGTTGCCCAGGCTGGAGTGCAGTAGTGCGATCCGGCCGCACTGCAGCCTCTGCCTCCCAGGTTCAAGTGATTCTCCTGCCTCAGCTTCCCAAATAGCTGAGATTACAGGAGTGTGCCACCATGCCCAGCTAATTTTTGGTGAAACCCCATCTCTACTAAAAATACAAAAAATTAGCCAGGTGTAGTGGTGTATGCCTATGGTCCCAGCCACAGCGGAGGCTGAGGCACAAGTATTGCTTAAACCCAGGAAGCAGAGTTGCAGTGAGCAGAGATCATGCCTCTGCACTCCAACCTGGGCAACAGAGTGAGACCTTGTCTCCAAAAAAAAGGAAAGAAAGAAACCTGACCTCCACAAAGAAAAATTAATTCCAGCTGGGTCGTAGATTTAAATGTGTAAGAAAAAACAATAAAGCTCCTCAAACAGTACAAACCAAGAGCAAATGAAAGTATTTGATGATCTGTGCTTTAATACAGGCAACTGAGGAATTTTAAAATTTTTGTTTCATTTAAATTCATTTCTGTTTAGCCACAAATGGCTACCATATTGAGTACCACAGAATTAAAAGATAATGTTAGCCGGGCGCGGTGGCTCAAGCCTGTAATCCCAGCACTTTGGGAGGCCGAGGCGGGTGGATCACAAGGTCAAGAGATCGAGACCATCCTGG